GAACCGTGAGCAGACCAATCGAAACGAGTAAAAGCTTCCTTACCTCAGTCATCGTCCTGCCATGTAGTTGGACAGCCTTTTGACACGGTGGTACAGGCAGCTCTTGTCCAGTCAAACAGGGGTATCCTTGTGGCGTCGAACGAAAGAGAGTGTCAGTGTATCTGACTCGTCAGATTGGAACTGTTTCTCTTTCTCCGCTTTCTGCTTTCATCCCTCGCTCTGATGAAACCGTTCAAACGTCTTACTGGCAGCAATGGCCAGCCAAACAGGGGATCCTTGTGGCGTCGAACGAAAGAGAGTGTCAGTGTACCTGACTCGTCAGATTTGAACTGTGCTGAACTTTTCTCGTTCTGCAATTTCTGCTGTCATCCCGCGCACTGATGAAACGTCTTCAGAGAACCACAAGACGCTTTCCAGATTTGATTTTGAACGTCTCCTTATCCTCCTTGGTTACCTCGTGACAGATTACTGTCAGCAACTTCACAGCAGAACTGGCAGCCATGGCTGAAGTGAAGAAAGGAATGCGCTGCCACCAGGCAAGCAAAACTGAAAAATGAATTGTTCTTTTTCGGGCACAACACACAGCGTGACTGGATAAAACTGGACTCCTGGACTGTGAATAGGGGACTTGTAGAAAAAGTGTACTCCTTATAGGGGATTGCGCGGCAGGTTGAAGCTGATCAAAACTGAGTGGACTCCTGGACTCTGTATAGTGGATTTTGGACCAATGGACTCTATATAGGGTGCTGGACATCATATAGTGCATGGACTCTATACTGAGTCCTACATATAGTTCACGAGGAGGTCCGATCCGATAAGTCCGATCCGAGGTGTTTGAACATCAGGTTTTCTCCGAATGTAGACAAGAGGAGACGCCCATTTGTCTACGACGCTATTCACAATGATTGTGACCATTCAGGGAAACTATGGTATATTATAAAGGCCATTATTTTAGTAATAAGCCAATGACAGGATGCCTAAGAGAAGCGCTCTGGTAGGGTCTACGACCTTATTTATGCCAGCTGGCTGCAGCTTGTTTCTCAGAACTTTGATTCAACATACATGCATCTGCTATAGGTTTGCCAGTGTGCATGAAAATCGCCACTGGTAGCCAAACCCGACCCTGCCAAACTCAGGATCAACACTCAGCCAAGTGTCAAGGTGTCAAGGCCGTCCAGATCATCAGTTCGGTTTTTCTCTTGTTCATCCGGACATACATGTAGCTGGCTCCAAACAAAATTTAATGAAAATATTACTACATATTAAGTATTTCGCTCCTGCTCTTGTAGCAGTTGAGCACTCTTGCGTGGGGTAGTGCCTTTGCTGTTTGCGTTATGCAGAGCTCACTGACTTGTCAGTTTGAGCACTCTGGCAAGGTACGTTCGGGCCTGATTGGAAATTTTTATTTCCATTGCTATCAGGTTCGGCCTCATTTCTCTGTGCTGCGCTGATGAGTTCAAAAAGAACGAAACAGCATGCTGTCCGCAGATTGAGTACATATTAAGTATGTAGTAAATACAAGGACCTAGGGGACTACACGCTAGGGTATAATGTCCACTAAGAACACCAGGTACAATCAGCTCATGCAATAACGTTGCACGACACTGACCGACCGTACTGACGTTTTACAACTAAATTGGCTATCAGTTCTAGCACGTCTTGGATGCGCACTCCAACAGCCTTCCAACGTGGAAGGTTCTAAGGTATAATATAGGAGGGGAAGGTACTTATTGGTAGCGTTGTTTATTATCTCTTTGAATCGCAGGCTAGACAGGCAATAGTATCACCGAAAGGGCTCCAGCTGCGTTCTTACTTCGTGCTGAGGCAACGAACTCAAATGACATTTATGCAAATATAGGTTGAATTCTGGCGCCAACGTGCTGGAAAACGAGAACAGGGGGAGGGGGCGGCGGAAATCAGAATAGCATTAGTTTGCTAACAAAATCCCTTCTATCTAAAACGTCAGGGTATAATTGGGGCCAAGTAGACAGCCTCTAGCACATCTAGATTTTTAATGCAAATAAATACAATGAATATTTCAGCAAAGCGGCGGGAAGCCCTGTTCACACTAGGATTCGAGCCCACAACGATTTTTTACAAGCTTTGAAAGCACTTGACACAAACGCTGCATCCAACGACACGGTCCAGTCCACTGCCCGGGGTCCCCATTTAATAAAAGTGTTCGATTTCTGGCCCTAACCTAGCGCCAAACGAGAAATACTCAAAAGGCTACAAAGTGAAGAGTGGAGCGTAATGCAACAGGTCCGTAACGGAATATTCTAGTCGCAGTTTACCGCTGTGTGAGTGTTCAGTTACTACCCTAGCATAGGTTAATAGTATTGTGAGTCTCCTAGCGCTTTCCTGTTGCGTGTGAAAGTCAAGAGACTCGAAGCCCTGCCTGCACTGCATCAACGAACTATTATCATACCTCCCGGCTCGGGTAAAATTATCCATGATCTGATGACATGGCCTGACAAGTGGCACGTACATGTAAGTGTACACTATTGGTGAAATGACATCATCCCACGGTTATGTTCATCGTAGCTCGCGTCATGCAGGTGATTGTCGCCCCTTAGCTGCTGCCATCAAGCTGTGTAAAGCCTAGTTCACATTCGACGGGGCGCGACAGGACGCGACGTAAGGATCGACGGGAAGCGACGGGGCGGTCTGACGGCGTCCAATGTGAACACCAGGAACGGGAACGCAACCGTACTACCGTACAGATCGGGAAGCGACGGGAAGAGTTGGATCGATCCAACTTTTCATACCGTAGACGGGCGTAGACGGGAACGCAAGCGGACAAAACAGCTGCAATTCGAGTGTGAACAGGAGACGGCGTGGCGCCGACTACTCCCGATTCGTACTTGGAAATTTTTAGCATTTCGAACACTGCGCTTCCCATGATAACTCACAGAATGGCTAGCACGACTTGAGTTTAATTTTAGCAACATAAGATCTCATGTCACTTATTATATTCAGGGATAGTTCAGAAGCGTGACAGACGAACTATTCTATCATTTCCTGGGGCTTTTATTTGAATGCCACAACTTTCAGGGCTAATTTTTTGATCTTCATGAAAAACTGGTATTGTGAACTTGATTCCGCTTCTTTCAAGGAGAAATAATTGAAAAAAAGTCCCGAAAAACGAGAAATTAGGTTCAAAAGTCACCCCGTCACGGACCGTGCCTTATGACTCGCGCCGTTCGACGTTGAACGTCGCAACGACTGCTGCATGTCGTGTGGTACGAATCGTACAGGATTTTACAGCTCACCCCAGCCCTCCCGATATATGTCGCGATAAGCCCTTACGTCCCGTACCGTCGGCGTTGCGTCGAATGTGAACTAGGCTTAATGCCTTAGCCCTAGTTTCAGTCTGCTACTAGAATAAACTACTGTTCCGATATTCGAGAAAGCGAGCGACATCAAAGTGCGAGTGAAATGGACCAACAGATTCGGCAAGCTGGATTGATCACCAGAATGGAACAGAACTACAGCTTTTCGAGTTCGGAAACTCATTAGTGGTTTGTGCCGTTGACGGGCAGGGCTGTTCTCTTGTGCGCAATTCTCTACACTAGATACTTTCGGTACAGCAGATCAGCTCTCCTTTCACGTGAGCGAAGAGGGAAAAACCGCTTTTCTCTTATTTTTGTAGTACCTGACGTGAGACTGTTCTTCCATTCGGAGGCAACAACATTGTGAATGGCCAACGGTCTTCAGCGTTTGTTCAGCACCTCAATGAGCGACACTGACTCACACTGCTATTAGGTGTTCACGAGATATTTGTGGCGCTGGAAACGGAGCGTCTCTGTGAGTTCTGCTCCTGCCGTTGCAAACATAGCTGTAACCATACAAAGCTCCAAGGGGAGCTGCCTCTGCCTTTGCAAACGTAGCTGTAAGCATGCAAAGCTCCAAGGGGAGCGGCCTCTGCAGTTAGCAAACATAGCTGTAAAGATACACAGCTCCAAGAGGGGCTGCGCCTGCATTTTGCCAACAAAACTGTAAACATACAAGGCACCAAGGGGGAACGGCCCAGGTGAAGGCACCAAGGGGGAACGGCCCAGGCGAGTAGATCTACGCAGGGTCGGCGGGAGGGGTAACATGGGGTCCGGTACGTTGTAGTACTTAGGCTGCGTTAACATGATAATTTTCAGGCCGGGTTGAAAGTCTGTACAATGGAACAAAAAGTACAATGTCATGTAGGTGGGTGTTTACATGAAGACAGTTGACCCGGGTCAAATATTGATATGTCGCCAAAAGACCAATTCTAGAGTCCTGTATCGTCACGTGCATGATTTCGCGCGAAATTTGCCTGTGCAGTAGGCCTAGACAGGGCCCTTTGGGCAAAATATCGAAGAATTGAAAGGGTGGAAAATGCCGGCAAAATCAGAGGAAAATATCGAGATGTTGGGTAAAATCAATGCCTGATACTTGTATTTCCTTGTTTCGTACCCGTTCAACATGATACACTGCCCAGGACTAGATCATGTCACCGAAATATCACTGGGATTCACTGTGGATCGACATGATTTTGGAAGAACTCAGGGACACGTGCATGGAAACCCATGTTGAGAAACCCACCCTGCGATTTTTATGAAGCGTTGTACAGGAAGTGGATAAAATACACGTTTATCCGGAGCAAAATGGAGCAAAATATCGATTTTATAGTAGCAGGCTCTGCAAAATTTTGCGGCAAAAATATCGAAGCGAGCGCCAAGTGGAGCAGAATCTGTCTGGGCCTACTGTCAGTTGCAGCCTAGAGTCGCAGGTGAGGCACTGTTCATGATCATACCACTGGCTTTTCTGCTTGCCTCCCTGGAAACTTGTGTTTAAAACTATTAAAATATGTATCCTATGTTATGACATAATATTGTCACCTCACCCACCTTGCACATGTGAGCATCACACTACTCGCCCATGTCATTCATTCGCGCTATAATTATTACCCAAGCTTGCTCCTGCCTATATGAATCACACCTTCAGAAACATATTGTCAGATGCTGTCTGATGATCGGTTAAATCTTGAAACCCAGAGACACAGCTACGCACTGTTTCCTTCCTAGATACCAGTATGTAGTCAAAGGAAATGAAGTCCATCAGAAACCAGATGCATACACCATGCAGCGCAGTTGACAGCAAGAGTTTGCAAAACAAAGCGCGGGATGTATGTAGATAGCTATGCATGAATGTGTATGGATAGCTACACAAGTACATGTATGTGTGCAGTGAGTTTATGCACCACGCTGTTGGGGTGGAGCTATTTAAAAATGCTGTGGCATGTATGTTGTGAAAATGGTATGCTTCTGGCAATAGCCGGATTGGAATGGTCATGATGACAGAGTTTGTTAGGGATTTATCATGATGACATCGGGTAACCTTGTTCCATTGCCTGCCCTTAGAGATGAGTCTGTGCTTGTCTCCAGCGAGAAGAATTGTATTTCCTTTCAGAGAAATGCGATCCAGGACAATCCTTTAGAAAGAATGTAAACACAAGAACATAAATAATAATTAAAGAGAAAGGATCAATAAGTTACAAGTCATAACTAACAGGCTTCTAGCCGAGTCTGACGCGAACCGTGAAATTTTTTATTTTTGTTTCATCGCTAGCATTCCACCAAGGTAACGAGATATTATACAGTCAGATAGTGCGACAACAAGGCACAAACTGACAAGGATATTGAGACATTCAATGACCTGACACCTAACTGTGACACATCTATGGAGCGCAAACCAACAACCTTCCACCTTGGAAGGCTCAGGTGTGGAAAGTTCCAATGAGGGTAAGGGATGCGCCAAGAAGATGTGCACGAGCTATATCCACCGTCAACAAGGAATGTCGAACGTTGTAGGATGATGACGACGAGACTAGTAAAACCATTGGACGAACCGGTCTAAATACAACTCGAAAACGCAAGGCAACAGACCACCCAACTTGGGAGGCTCAAAGGTATGTAAAAAAACACAAAGAGGGGAAGCCAAGCGGAGACGAACTGACACAAACCAAAAATCAATATCCTACTAAATTCCATGTTGATGTAACGATGATGGACAAGTTAGGTACAATAACAAGTAGTTTCATGCGACAGGAGTTTCGCCGTATGGCTGGTGACGGCTCATCATGTGTGCCTATTATAAATTTTAACCCTTTAAGTCCTAGAACTATTTTCAGAAAATGCAATATAGCCGCTCTTCACATATCTCTGACAATAAGTTGAATATCTCCATCATTTCTAGGTCGAAGTTGGTTGTTCCTACGTGGAACATACGCTTCCTGCCAAACTTGACACTTGACTGACTCATACGCCTGCCATCCGGAGCATTTGAGGAGCATGTCGCACCTTCCACTCGCCAAACCTACAAGAATGCACCACTCCCTGCTCCATACACAGTGTTTCGGGTAATTCACCCCTCATTAGTTGAGCTTGGATAGGCTGAGGAAGAATGTACCTGGAAAGCACCACTTATATAATGCTATCCAGGCCAAACCATCAGCAGGGATACAAACTGACCAAGACGCTCCATTTCTACCGCGACAAACACCTCATAAGGCGCCAGGTAGCAACGTGAGTCAGATTCGCTCAAGGAGTTGTGCTAACCCGATGGACCTTTAGAAGAGGTGATTCGGTCAAGTATTCGCGAAGTTACGGAAGTTTGAAGTCGCCCGGTATACCCTGCATACCGGTTCGGGTACCGTAAAGTCCGCTGAAAAGGCCCACTTCGCAGCAAACGCCCACCTGAGCGGGCGCATACCATTCTCATCCTTTTCAGGTGAATAGAATTGTACACGACAGTCATGAAGGTTGAATATGTACGAGAACGACTGTAATGCCTAGAAACTGCCTATGTCTTACCAGGAGGCTCTGCAAAAGCGATTGTCATTATCTTGCATCAAAGAAAAACTTCTGTCGTGATTTCCTTTCATTCGATAAACAAGTCATCTTTGAATCAGTTCGTTCCCCATGTGGAAATGCCATGGAGTCTACTAGTATCTGGTTTACAACAAAACATGAAATTTCTGCATTGGTCAATCAAATCATGCTTTCATTGATGTGTTGAGTGAACATACTCCACACATCGATTTTGTCCTAAGTTACTACACACTGCATCCTGGTCGCATTGCTCTCCATAATAGGTTACACATGTGCAGTGCGCGCGATGATGAAAGACCGGAAATCCTACCCTGGGCCAGATCTAAATGTATGTTCGTACTCACACTGTATAGACTATTTCGTATTATCTAATTGAATGCATACCGAGTTGTTCTGTTGTGTAATTGAATGCATAGAACATCCTAGCCAGCAATCGCATGTCACGATGTACATTGAAAACCAACATCTTATTTTCGCGAATCGACCTTTTTTTTCAGCATCACTTTTCAACGAGGACCAAACAAAGTCGGCCGAACGAAGCCTAGAGGAAGAAAATCATCTTCTCCACTTCACCAACACGATCCTGACATAGGTCCGAAACTAAACAACTAAAAAGTCCACAAGAAAACTGTACGCCCATCACCGCGCTGACTTTGGTCTGAGACTTTTTATTACATTCAAAATGTACGAGGAGCACACAAAAAAATACTGACGTGCTTTTGTCGCTCTCTACTCCTTTTTCAGGGCACGAAGGTCGTCTCCACTTTCAAACCGGGAACAAGATAATTATTCCCGTAGCTATGAAGAAGACATTACTTCAGCAACGTCTGGCGCTAGCCAGGGTCCACGCAGCTTTAACTTGGTATTTGATTGTTTGTTTGTTTGTGTCACGCCTGGTGCTATCCCGTATCTGTCCCGTACCGTATCATACCATCAAACACAGCTGGCCACAATATTTGCTGTTTCCCGTATCTGTCCCGTACCGTACCATCAAACACAGCTGGCCACAATATTCATGGTATTATGTACACGACTCCCTGATGTATAGGGAGACTTTCTGGAAAGAAATAGGGAGACGAGGAGGAAATGCAATTAGAATGGACGTTAGTTGCCGAATAGGTGATAGGATGCGTCAGCAAAAACATGTACTTTGGAAGAGAGATCCCGTCGTCTCAAAAAAAGCGTGAACGGGCGAGTCAGCGCCGGTCACAGGAAACGTCGGAAAGAGATCCCGTCGACTCCAGAACGCCCGTGATCGGCAGAGTCAGCGCCGGTCTCAGGAAACGTCAGGACAGACATCCCGTCGACTCCAGAACGCCTGTGATCGGCAGAGTCAGCACCGGTCCCAGGAAACATTTCCATCAGTTCTCACAACATGGACGATGAGCTAAGCAACAAAGCATAGCGTAGGGTCCTGAGCTTCCAAGCTCTCTCGTTGATGGTCCTTTTCAGCTGCTCCACAAGCGCAGGTAATGTACACCAAGGGCCACAGAGCAGCATCCATTCTACCAAAACAGCTAAAATGCAAGTGAATGTGCAATGCCTGAGTACATGAGTAGTCGAGTACAGTTATGCAGTAAATCGTCAATTTTAGAGTTTCTGCTTCAAACACCAACTAACTTTAATTAGCTATAAAGATTACATCAAAGGATCAAACAACAACTATTTTCTTCATTTTTTCGGCAGAAGGCTTCTTCTTGTGCTTGGCCCAGGCCAAAAATCACACCTTGGAGGAGTATAAAATGTACAACTCCCAGATGTCCTCAATTGCTGGTCATGGTAATAGTAGATTTTTCGCAGTTCGAATTTTCGTCACTTCACGAATGTTTGTTGTTTGTCCTGTGGGGATGCGACTAGATGGTTGGAGCTGACAGTGTTGCGAATGGCAAATGGCCCTCAACGTGTGTTTTCACAACTCCATGGGCGGCACTGACTCACACTGCCGCCTGGTGCTCATGAGGTGTTTGCTGCACAGGAAGTGGAGCGTCACTGCAAGTTGGTATCCCTAGTGATGTTTTGGCTCGGAGAGCACTACATAATGCAGTGCTCTTGGAGCAGAAATTTCATTAGCCTACTCAAGCTCAACTGATGGGGGTGGGGGGGGGGGGGCAAATTCCTCGAAACACTGTGTATTGAGCAGGGAGTGGTGCTTTCTTGTAGGTTTGGCGAGTGGAAGGTGCGACGGACTTCTCATGTGCTCCAGACACAGTCATGAGCCAGTCAAGTGTCAAGTCAGTCGGCAGGAAACGCGAGCTCCGACGTTCGGAGCAGACACTTTCTCCACGAATCATGGTTTGTTCATTAAATCCTGACGAACGAATATTCAAATATTCTGTATATCCCTTTCAGCGCCACGCTGCACTGAAAATTCTCATATTGATGTCGTAAAATTATGATGTTTCGGGCCAGTCACACATCGTCAGAACCACCCCATTTCTTTTCAGATTTGTTAAATTATGGAAATACTGTATTTTCTCTAATATGAGCCTGGGGTTCTTATTTTTCAGTGACAGCTCTACCCGCGCTACTATTAGAGACTGGGCTATTATTGGAGACTGGGCTCATATTTATTCACTTGTCAACTATCAAGCCAACTCCAGTCTATACAGGCATAAACTGACCATAACAAGACTGATTTTCAACCCTAAACTCAGTAATATTGTCAAAACAGATGTTTCACAATAGCTTTGGTGCAAGGAAGGAAGCAGTAGACCGAAAACCTCCTTGAAAATATGTTCTTGGCATGTTGTACTGCTGGTTTATACGCAGTCAATGTACTTGTTGCATACACCAATTGAGACCCACGCTACTATTAGAGACTGTGCTCTTATTATTTCAAACCACCATCACCCCGGGTCATCATTGGAGACAGGGCTATTATTAGAGACCTGGGCTTTTATTAGAGAAAATACGGTAAGTGAACACGACACAGCCTGAACAGCAAAGTGTAAGATGGCTTACATTTCTTATTGTAGACCTTGAAATAGAAGATGAGGTTCAGGGCAACACTGGCAGCGAAGAAAATACCTCTTATGATAGAGACTGCAACTGAAATGTCCACTCTGCCTTGGCTATGACTGTCACCAACCACAGTATCAACTGGTGCTGCAACGCATAACATAAAAAAACATTCTGGTAAGTATAGATCCTATGAGACATTTACAAGCGCTGTTCAGGTTTCAAATGGCAGAATATGATACAACATACACAAAAGTGATACGGTATTTCCGGGGTGTTAGCTGCACCGGGGTCTAAGCTGCACCCCCCCCCCCCCACCCGCCCCCGCCCCTCCCAAGGCTAAAACCCATTTCGGCCGCATGAAATTTTCGGCCTGTACTGCTGCCGTCTGTATACACTATCATACTGAACCTTGCAAAACAAAATTTCAGCCGCAACAAACATGTCCAGGCCGAAAATGGCGGAAAATGAATATGCGCCAAATACTTCTTGACTTACAGTATCATCGTAAGGAAAATAATTGTATTATAAGTCATACATGGTCGGAGGGTATAATGGTGGTTTCCAGCCAGATGCAACAAAGGCCACAGTGCGGCATCCATTCCGGCCAAACAGCTAAAATGCAAGTAAACCCGTATGCCTGAGTGCATGAGTACATCAGTACAGTCATGCAGTAAATAGTCAATTTCAGTTTTTCTGCTCCAAACCTCAACTAACTTTGACTAGCTACCAAGATTGCATCAAAGAATTTTTGCATTTTGCATTTGTATTAATTTTTATGGATTCTCCACAGGCCTTAGCCTAAATCGAGGGAGTCTCCGAGGATCAAATAACCATTTTCTTCCCCGGGATGGAGAGCCAAGGCGGTGTTAGTGGACATTATAGCGTAACTTGTAGTTCCTTGGTCCTCTTTTTCTTTACTGTTACCCACTTTATAAAAAGTAAAAAAGACAAAGGAACTACAAGTTACACTATAATGTCGACTAACACCACCAGTTACTAAACAATCAGCTCATGCAATAACATTGCACGACACTGACCGACGGTACTGACGTTCTACAACTAACTAACTGGTGGTGTTGGTGTTAGTGGACATTATAGTGTAACTTGTAGTTCCTTTGTTCTTTTTACTTTTTATAAATAATCCTTGTCTCTCCATCCGAGTCCATTCTTGTTAACCATTTTCTTCACTTTTTGCCTCGTGAGAACCCTGACAACACACATAATTATGACATATGTGAACATGTTCTGTGTCCTATGCAAGCTGTACACAAAAGAAACTAGGGATTTGTTTGGTGTTACTCTGAGTAACAACCAAAGGATCAGTTGGGGAAGTGAACTGCTTGAAAAGAGAAAAATGCTAACCCCACTAGGACTCTAAACTAGACCATGCTTTTCATGAGCAATGCTCTAACCATTTGAGCTATGGGACCAGGCCGAAACAAGAATGCACCAAGAAGGTTTTCACTCAGGAGGTAGCTCACGACACATGCCACACATAAGTTACTGATGGCACTTGGGTCGTTTTCCCTCCCCCAGGGGACTGCCTGAAAAGAGAAAAAATGCCAGACCCACCAGGACTGTAACTCTCGCGCTCGTCGCGTGTTTCAGCGCATGCGCAGTGCATGAAGACGTCAAGTAGTCGTACAATCTATGACTTGACCACTCTTTGACAGCACGGTGCGACGCCCACGCGCAGCGCAGGGAAACAAAAGATGAAAAAGAGAAGCAAATCATTCAGTCGGTGACAGAAAGGGGGGTTCGTCCGAATCCTGTAAAAAACCCTGGGTACCCGCCCGAAAAGCTCCGGTGGTTAGAGCATTGCTCATGACAAGCAAAGTCTCGGGTGCGAGTCCTAGTGGGGTTGACATTTTTTTCTCTTTTCAAGCAGTTCACTTTCCTCGACTGATCCTTTGAATTTGAAGTTCCCTAAATCCTTTCAAAAAACACATAAATCCCTACTTTGTTATGTGTGCCTCTTGTGCACTGCACTCCGCTCATCAGGGAAATTGGGCATTCTAGCAGATTGAGGAGCACTGCGTCTGTGTAATGTGTGCTCAATGGTGAGGTATATGCAATCAAACATGTGTACCTGAGCAAGCGGAGATTTCCTTTGTCCACATTCCACTTTTCTGGCATGTGATCAGTTGATGGCGTTGTGACCAGTTACCAGAAACATACAGGCCTTCTCTGCATGTGACGTTAAGTGAAATGTTTGCTGAGAAGTTCAGTTTCATCAGATTGATAATTTCTGGTGTGGGTGTACTTGCAACAGATACAACCCACCCTAATTCACTGGGTAACTTGCAAAAAGCAGGTGGTATTGGTTGATAAGTTGGTTTATCAGTGACATCAGGTTGCACTCTGACTGCAGCTGTTGTAGTGCCTACAGTGACACGATGTCCAGGACCGACCGAGTTGACAGCAAACACCGTGATCAAAACACTTCTGCTCTCCTTTAGTCCAGTTATGGTGTAGAGTGGCATTGCAATGTTGATATCGTTGCTCACTCTCTCCTCAGTATCTCCTCTGAGAACACTATACTGAATTACGTAGTATAGACTACCACCTGGAGCAGGGTCAAAGACAAAGGTGAATAACAAAATACTGATGACTCAGATGGTGAGCCAAGGAAAACATGGAAAATGTGGGCACATGTTGGTCAGCGCTATCGAGCAGTGCTCAAGCTGAATTTCATGCAGTGGCATGTCGCAGTACTCTTTGTCAGTTTTGTGCTAGATTGTGCACGTCTGACTGTTCAAAAGCTGGTTTAGTTGGTGGACTCGATCGCATACCTTGTGCCCACATTTTCCATGAAAAATGATGAGCTGCCTATTATCATAATTATTGTGCTTGACTGTGCCGAGTGCTGCTGAAGATTGTTATATGGTAGATTGGCTATAATGTTATAGTTGATCGAGCATAGATCTGCTAAGAGTTTTAGAGCAATAAGCGTTATCATGAACGCCTCTTAGCAAATCCTTGAACCACAAGTTGTCGGATCACTAATGAATTTAGTTCTGACTTCTCAATCCGATCATGAAACTATTACTTCCTCCGGATACAAAATCTTCGTGACTTTTTCACATGACTTTCCAAGGAGTTACTGTGCTCAACAAAAGTGTTCTATTGGAAGAGAAACACTTCAACACGCCCATTGGACATGTGTAAAATATCTACCAGGTCGATTGATGGGAATAGTGTCTCAGTCTCAGTCGCCATCACTCGATTCATCACGGCTAGAACCAACCAAAGTGGCAGGTCGATCGACACATTCTCGCATATCACGGAGCAGCTTCTCAGCGTCCATGATCGCCTTCGCTGTTACTAGTACGTGATTTTCATGTGCACCAGTGCTTTCCCTAACATGTAGGTAAAGGCCGCGGTGGCGCTGGTACTCTGATATCGAATTGGCTCTCGAGAATGCTCCGGTACGAGGCGTACCCTAAAACCAAACTTTTCGTATTTTCTCTGCGTTGTAATCGTCCCATCATGTCGCGACTGCTGTGAGCAGATCTCGCCTGTTCTCCTATGCAACCAAGGAGATATCTGAAGTGGAGGCTGCTGAAAAAGGCAAGCTCTTCCACTGAACGACGACTCTATTTTGAACTTTTAAGATTTTCTGTCACATCTTTGCGTTTGGAGTTTTCGGACATCTTGCTGACCTATTTGCACTTGTCTTTGGCTGGTGTTTTTGGGGATGACGCAGATTTCAAAACACTGGCTTCTATCCCTTTGACACTCTTCTTACTCCTCAGTGCTATTGTCCTTCTCTATCTCATTCTGAACCCAAAACTACCATCGACGAGCAGTGAGCGCATTGCTTTTATTGGCAATGTGCCTGGTGGACAAAAATACAAGACATCGTCGCTTCGCTTGGTTTCCCGCACGACACCTTTGCCTTGCGATGATTGTCGGCTTTCCAGAATGGGAATCATGCCTTCCTTCGGTTCGGAAATGTCTTCTGTTGTTGTTTCAGGCCGACACAGCCACACAGAGAGTGACTGAACAGCAGCGAAAATTAGTGAAAAAATGTCACGAAGTTTTTGTTTGCGGAGGAAGTATTTCCTCTTCTGAACGCTTTTATCTTTAACTGAGTATTTAAGTCCTTGATCACATGCACCACGGCGCATATGTATTTTACGCCATTTTGGCCTGGCCATGTTTAGCCGAAATTTTGTTTTCCAAAGTTCAGTGTGATAGTGTATACAGGCGGCAGCAGTACAGGCCGAAAAATTGATGCGCCCTAAATTATGATGGCCAGGCCGCTATCTTTGCCACACTTGCCAAGCAACACCAAGGGTTCCCTGTAAGAAGGCAATAGCCTGTTTAGATTACCCTGCCAGGTGTGTCTTTACCACCATATTTAGATTACCGTAGTACAATTAAAAAATAAGCTACTGCTTCGAGTACTACTGCTACTACAGGCAACTTCGCTTATAACGACACTCAGCGGGGCATCAGAAAAGTGTCCTTATTCGCGAAGTGTCGTTATACCCGAAGTCTCATTATATATGTAGGACTCAGTATAGAGTCCATGCACTATATGATGTCCAGCACCCTATATAGAGTCCATTGGTCCAAAATCCACTATACAGAGTCCAGGAGTCCACTCAGTTTTGATCAGCTTCATCCTGCCGCGCAATCCCCTATAAGGAGTACACTTTTTCTACAAGTCCCCTATTCACAGTCCAGGAGTCCAGTTTATCCAGTCACGCCGTCCTGTGTGTTGTGCCCGAAAGAGAACACATTTTCAGTTTTGCTTGCCTCGTGGCAGCGCATTCCTTTCTTCACTTCAGCCATGGCTGCCAATTCTGCTGTGCAGTTGCTGACAGTAATCTGTCTCGAGCTAACCAAGGAGGATAAGGAGACGTTCAAAATCAAATCTGGAAAGCGTCTTGTGGTTCTCTGAAGACGTTTCATCAGTGCGCGGGATGAAAGCAGAAATTGCAGAACGAGAAAAGTTCAGCACAGTTTAAATCTGACGAGTCAGGTACACTGACGGTCTCTTTCGTTCGACGCCACAAGGATCCCCTGTTTGGCTGGCCATTGCTGCCAGTAAGACGTTTGAACGGTTTCATCAGAGCGAGGGATGAAAGCAGAAAGCGGAGAAAGAGAAAAGTTCAGCACAGTTGCAATCTGACGAGTCAGATACACTGACACTCTCTTTCGTTCGACGCCACAAGGATACCCCTGTTTGACTGGACAAGAGCTGCCTGTACAACCGTGTCAAAAGGCTGTCCAACTACATGGCAGGACGATGACTGAGGTAAGGAAGCTTTTACTCGTTTCGATTGGTCTGCTGTTCTGTCGTTATGCTTGGATTTTTTTTTCCATTTTCAAGGAGCGTATCGCGTTTGTTTGATGTTGCTTGAATGAATGCCCTAAAAGTAATCAACCACTTCGTAATAGTCCTCAAGGACTGCAAGGACTTTGCATCAATCGTATATGATCGTCTAGCTATCATCAATTATTATTTTATTTCATGAGAAATGTATTCAAGTTTATCCCTGTGATAATTATGTGAACTCCACGACACTCTTCCTGTAGTATGATGTCAAATACAATGGGATCCACAAACGCAGTGCCAGTGTACTAGTAGTAGTAGGACTAGGAGGATTGCTTGTATGCCAATGACAAGAAAAAGCTTCTCAAGCTAATACTCGTATTCCCTGAAGTAACCGTTTTGATGTCACGAACATGACATAGTGTCAGTGAAACTGCCTCGTGACAACAAATCATTGCATTTCCATCTTGGGGAAGACTGACTGACAGCAACGCTGTACAGATTGTTCAAATCATCTCATTTCAATTTAGTTGCAGTGAAGTGAAACACTGTGTACACTACATGTATGTTGGTGTGTCTGTGCGTCTTAAGTGTGCACACACGATCTTATTCCTCGTATTACTAATAGATTATTGTCCCCACCATCACCTGTTCACAGGTCTTTGAGTGGATTGATTTTCATTGAGCATCACATTCGTTGAGAACTTGGTAGTTGTGTGCTCCCATGCATCATTACGGTAATAAGCGTATCCTTGTGCTATCTATTTGTTGCAGGTGTGCTGATCTTCAGAAGCTTGCGGAACTGAGTGCTGCTGAACATTTACATGGCCATGAGCAATGGTGAAGCTTGCTATTGCACTCTCAGCATGTGCTAGTATTATGCTGACTACTGCACTATGTTACTCTCTTACACTACTACGTGTATGTAAACGTGCGTGTACCGTCCCCGTACGCATTCGTTTCGTATAATTATTTGTTATCCCTCTTGACTTTACATGTAAATGGGTGGACGTTTGCATGGCTGTTGGAGTTGCGTGTGTATTGTGCCTCTACTCTTTTCTTGGTGTTTTCTTGGCGTTGTATAAGTTTGTGTGTGTGTGTGTGTGTGTGTGTGTGCGCGCGTGCGCGCACAATAATTTGAAAACAAATAATTAATCCTGGGCTCTCCATTATTCTCTTTCGATTCTTGGTTTTTTTTCTAGGTATTTTCTTGGCGTTGTGTGGGTGTGTGCATATGTGTGTGCGTGCACAATAATTTGGCAACACTACATGATTGAGATATCGTAATTTGCAGCGTCTGCGAAGAGACCACTTGATTTGAGGATGGTGTTTGTAGGGTTTTTCATGTAATGAAGTGGCTGCAGTGGCGCCTCAATACATATTTTTTATCTTGAGAAGTGAATGATGTAAAGGATTAAAGGGAGAGGCCGTTTTCTGGTTAATATTCACTGCTTACAGCAGATCCTATGTCTATTTTCGAACTCGATAGGGGATGCCTAATTGGCTGGACTTTATACAGGGGTGTTGTCCACATAAAGACTCTTTATAGTTGATTTCAAAGTTTGGACTCCGTACAGTTGATTTTGGACCAATGGACTCTATATAGGGGTGAAGCCAATTGGCTGGACTCTATACAGGGAGTGATGTCCATCGAAACTTTGAGCTCACAGTTGATTCCAAGTTTGGACTCTGTACAGTGGATTTTGGACCAATGGACTCTATATAGGGGTTGGACATCATATAGGGGCTGGACGCTCTACTGAGTCCAACATATATATATTACAGTTGGATGGGACTTTGCTCTGGGCATGGAAATTCTGTCGTTATTTGTGAATTGTCGTTATATCCGCAGTCGTTATTAGCGAAGTTGACTGTACTAGGTGTACATTTTTTGGTATAACTTATCAAATGTGTGAATGCAGTGTGCAAAGCACTGACGTAGAGGTGCACGGCAAATGAAAACATGGTAGTGCATCCTGTCCGACGGCAAAAGAGGCTGCGGTTTTAGTTTTTCTGCATGTTATCAGCAATGACTACTGGTCTTCAGCAACTTGGGTCTCCTATTTTCGTGCACCAGCATATCTTCTCCAGGTGTCAGGGGCCCAGCTTCCCCGCCCATCCGACTCGCCACACACAACAGCGCAACTGAACTAAAAGTTCTATATAATATCTTGAACAGACGAAGATGGACAGACAAGAAGACCGGACACGACGAGGCAAAACTGATAACTGAAGAAAACGACAAACATCGCGGCAGCATTATATGAGCATGCGCGCAAAATGATGTTGCACGCGCGACAATGACGTAAGCGTTCCATGGTGTATACATGTACAGAAGACTACACATGCAACCAAAACAATGCAACAAAGGCAAGACTAAACCACTACAACATAAAACTAAAGAACAACATAAATAAGCCACGAAAAGTCTTTCACTCTAAACCCGTTACACAACACCTATACTACGCATCCTGTCTATGCCTTCGTAATGCTAACATAATGCTCGGGATAGCACTCGCTACTGATCTTCAGAAACGTGGCCTGACTCTCACTCACAATAAGACTGTTGTAATGTTCATCGGTCCCAAACGGTCACTGGTTTCTCCCACAATTTCATCGTACTGTTAACACATGTTGTACGACAAGCTATACGACATCCTTATACCGTACAACACCGTATTGATGTCTTGCGCTGTCGCCTTCATCTCTGGTGCGGGTGTAATCTAGTGACTTCGTACATGCGTTATAATAGACCAATCCCTTTGTCTGGGTTCGTGAAAAGGGCCACGCCTGCAAGTCAGCTCGTGTGAAGTGCATGGATTTTTATTTAGTTGGTATGTGGCAGCTTATGGGACAGAGAGACTTTTGCTCCCCGAGCTTGTGTATGTAAATACTGTTTTACGTCGACCATAACGGCTCGATTTGAATTGCAGAACGGCTGCTACGATACGAACTCTAAAACCAGAAAAATAATAATGGCTACAATTCCCAACCATACCAAAATGAACTGATCGGTTATATCATTGTATTGCAAAAAGGTTCCATCTGTTCGAATAACATTCATGATGAGCTATGCAAAAAAGCATAGCTTAGGGCCCTGAGTGAAAGAAATCAACTTTCTCTTTGCATTCGAGGGTAATACGACACCGTCTACCACCTTGATGACCTAGGCAAAAAGCATAGGGATGTTATAATTTTTTCATTTCTCCTATTTTTTTCAAGACATAACCTAGAATTCGAACACGCATTATCGCCCTGCATGCATTCCCCCGGTACACTTCGCATACATACTCATTCTTCCAAGTTGCTTCACGTTATGATCTTGCATTTGAGAGCTCTAGTTGAATATTGTGGCCAACTGTTTTGATGGTACGCTACGGGACAGGTACGGGATAGCATCAGGTATGTCGACGGCACAAACAAACAAACACACGCCTTGATGGTACGGTACAGGACAGGTACGGGATAGCGCCAGGCATGCCGACGGCATGCACTGACACTCTTCAAATAAAACGCACTCACCATTGTCATCCACACGCACACACAGCTGCCGCATTGATCTACTGCTACCATTCTCAGATCGACAGCATAAAGTCACACTACACGAATTATGCAAAACAGCGAGCTGCTGCATTCTCACGCTCCATATCATATTCTATTATTCTAGCTACATGTATAATATAACCGGTTGCTTTAGTGATCCTTACTATGTGACGATGTTCCACTGATAATAGTAACGAGAAAACATTCTGGAAAATTTTCATGAACAAACGGCAAGGAGACAATAATTTGATAACCGCAATCAAAATGATGAGCTGAATCGACATTTGTGTACACTTTATTCATGCAATGTAAAACTGTGGAGACAATGTGCAGTAAAACGTGTCGTGTTTGGTGTGGCCAAGCTTGGCCCGTAATGTTCTAGGTATAATATACTGCTGTTATTTGTTGTCACTTTGTCCTTCCTTCTTTCTCTCTTTTCTTTTTTTCATTTTTCAGTTGCAAGTTTATTGTTAGCACACGCATTCGTTATTGCTCTCGCTTTCATTGTTAAGGCCGAGTAAAAAAAATTACTAGATGATCGTCCTTTTTTTTGGAAAAATCGGGGAGGGCGGGAGGATTTTATTTTTATTTTTTTACTTTTTACCCTCTCATGCACACAGTGTACACAACAACATCAAGGTTTTTTTCTCTTTTTTTCTTTTTTTTTCTTTTTTTCTTTTTCTTTCTTCAGCAGATCGATACTGACGTTGTGATATACTAGTAGTATGTGGTCCATATAGTAAAACTCACGATTTAAAAAATAAAATATTTCTTGGGGCGCTGACAAAAACTGGGGCGGACGGGGACGATCATCTAGCTTTTTTTTTTACTTGGCCTAATCATCACACTTGTAAATTTCACTGCTGTAGTTCTTAGTGTTATTTCTCTAACTTAGATTTTATATAATATTTCAATTTTGTTTTCAGTGTCCTTTAGTACAAAGACGATTCCTGATGAGTGTTGTACGAAAAATTGTTTGAATCCTTATTTTCTCTACACTATTTCTTCATATTTTCATCGTTTCATTGCACATTGTCTCCACAGTTTTACATTCCATGAATAAAGTGTACAGAAATGTCGATTCAGCTTGTCATTTTGATTGCGGTTATGAAATTTTTCATTTCAATAATTTTTTATACAAGGTTATGAATGGACTCGGATGGAGAGCCAAGGAGCGTAACTTGTAGTTTCTTGGTCCTTTTGTCTTTACTATAAACATGGTTGTGAGTGAATAATTAGTTTTATTCATTGTTAATTTACGACTTGTCTCCTCGTCGGTTATTTAACTACATTAGTGCGACAATAATAATAGGGCTTGAAAGTGCTACGTCACAGCATAGCAACAATTTCAGAAATTCAAAAACTGGATCCACTTGGATCCAGTTTCTGTATGGATCTAAGCACATTTCAAGCCGTCTTACTCACAGCAAGGTGATGTCGCCAGTGAAACTGACTGATTTGGCTACTGGGGGCGGGCTTACAACTGGTGGTGAAGTAAAAGTCACTCACCCCTGCATACGACATGAGTGGGCTGCTATGCACCCACATACTGAGGCAATAGCAAAGTCACACCTTAGTGGATCCAAAATAGAAATCTGATGTCAACTTACTACTCCCTGGCCGTTTTTGACGTCATCACTTTCGAGCCCTATGGAAATTTGAATATAGATCAACCATACATTGGGGTTTATTGACCTACAGACCATGCTCTTGAAAACAACACTCACCGTAAGTTGTTTCTGGTGCTTGCCATCTTGCCTGCAGTGCAGAGCTTGATATGGGTATGGCTGTCAAATTCCTCACTGGTCCTGGGGCTGCATTGGAGAAAAAGAACAAGGAAAAAATTGAGTGGAATCTCATTCAAGTCTCCAACCAAATCAAAAAATTCCATATTGTCATAAATTTAATCCATCTTCAGACAGAACTGTTTCGTCATTTGTGCATATAAATTTCAAATTGTTCACTTGAACTCAAATCTGTGGATAGCAACTGTTTCGCTCTGTTAGAGCTCCTCAGCACAGCTCATAATTGTTCACTTGTATATTTTCACACTTTTCATGTTCAGCATTACCACACTGCATGCATATTCTAGGATATACTGTGACATTTTCTTACAAATTTTGTGTACATGGTGTTTGTGTGTTCTAGAATATTCATCTGGCTGTCTGGCTGTATTTATGTTTCTTGTTGGCCTCTTCTTGCTTATCAATTTCCTTATGACGCCCAACGGGGTGAATTATTGGCGATCTGCTTCTTTTCCGTGTAGTCTTTTGGACGTTCAGCTAGTACTGTCCTCAGCGATGAAAAGCAGTCTCCCGACCAAGGGCAGGCCGCCCAGCGTGTCTGGTCCTTATCTCACACCTGGATCCTCGAATGCTTCTACCAGTAGTAAAACCCTGCCCTCCTCACGAACACCCCCGGACACTCTGCGTTCGACTGCTGCCACTGGTAACTCCTCCTTCGACTCGGATGTCCTGATGAAGCTGATGAAGGACAGCAAAGAGACGCGGAGCCGCATGGACAGGCTAGTGGACGACATCTCCACCAAGTTTGAAGCAATAATGGCCGAAAATGCTGAACTGAAGACGAAGCTTGCCGCACTGGAAGAACGAGTTGCAACTGTAGAGCAGTACGGTACAAAGCCTGTCCAGAACCCAGTACGAACCTCCGGTTTGAATTTCAAACAGCTGGTTGCTGACGAAGTGGACAAGACCCGTCGAGAAACGAACATCATTCTCCGGGGAGTGGATGAGGAAGGCGATGACATCAACCGGGACTCTTGTGCTCAGCTCCTTGGAATTCCCACAACCGATATTGTCACTGTTGAACGACTTGGGCGAGCCCACCAAACAGCGCAACCTGACAAACCAAGACCAGTTCGCGTACAGCTTGCCACGCGAGCCACGAAGGCCGCCGTGTACGGTAGGCGCCTCGACTTGAAGGTGGGCTCAAGGAATTTGTATGTGAGCCATGACCTGACCCGCTCACAGCAGCAAGCACGCACCAAAGTCGTCCCAGTGTACAAACGACTCCGGGCGCTCCACGTACGCTGTTCCCTACCGTATGACACCATCCTGGACCCCGAGGGCACAGCCATGGCAGACAATGAAATCACCAGGTTGCTTGAACGTGAACAGCAGCAGCAGCAATAGGATCGGGCACAATCTCCACGGTCACTCAAGAAGTTACGAACCCCACGTGAGTTACCTGATGCAACATTTATCACCAATCTCCCATGCTCCACCACCCATCCCTTTTGTATTGCTCATATCAATATCTGTAGTATAAGAAACAAGCTACCAGATGTTACTAGCATTCTCCATGCACCCAACGTCCGTACAGTTGATGTTCTTGCTGTTAGTGAAACTTGGCTGGACAGTAGCATTTCAGACACCCTGTTAAATATACCTGGCTACATACTGTACCGTCATGACAGGCAAGGCACAAGAGGCGGCGGAGTTTGTTTCTTCGTTCGTGAAACCATACCTGTCTCATCCTGCATACCCAGCACAACTGTCGAGGCCCTGTTCTTAACGGTCGCAGGAAACACTGATACTTCATTGTGCATTGGTTGCGTCTACCGCCCACCTACTGCCCCTGTATCCTTCTGGCAGAACCTAGCAGACTCGGCTGATCACGCCACCAGTAGTAGTAACGCGACCCTGTTCCTCCTTGGCGATCTTAATGTAAACATTTTGGCTCCTGAGCGGCACCCTCAACACCGCCACCTTAGTGAACTCTGTGACACACTCAGCCTCCACAATGTAGTGCTAGAACCCACTAGATCCCCAAGCAACACTTGTCTGGACATAATCCTTGTCTCTCAAACTCTGCCTAGTGAGGTAACACTCAAACCAGTAGCTGTCCAGTCACTAGACGGCGTTTCAGATCATTTCCTGGTGTCGCTCATCCTTGCACTCGCTGGCAGTCAACCGCACCGTGTCTTGCTCAATCACCGCAAGATTCGCTCGCCGCCGGTCAGACAACTTACTGCTGAGGAGTTTGGCCCGGACTTCCTTCAATCTCTCAGAGCCACGGACTGCAGTGACATGTCAGTAGACCAACTTAGCACTGTATGGAGCGATGCTGTTCTACAAACTGTGGATCAGCACTGCCCTCGACGTAGCGTCACCTTGTCATCTCATCCACCACCACAACCCTGGGTCACGCCTGGCCTCCAAAGTTTATATCAGCGGAAAGCGTACTTACACAGACGGTGGCTCCGGGATCGCGACAGTGACAGTGCTCGCCAATGTTTCCGAGCTGCCCGACGAGAGTGTCAAATTCTACAGCGCAGACTGCAAACTGAGTACTTCACCAACAGATTTTTCTTGAGTCGGTTCAACCCTCGAGCTCAGTGGCAGGTACTGAACCACCTCTTAGGTCGGAAGCAACAACCGACGACTCTACCTGTAGACGTTCCGGCCCTAAGTGCAGTATTTGCGGCTCAAGTTAGCGATCCTACACTGAACACTGGGTCACAGTTACCCCTAGGCCCCAGCAAAGCAACTGGATTCACTACATTTCGGCCAGTGTCCCCGACTGACGTGGAACGACGGTTATGCAAGCTAGACAAATGGAAAGCCACCGGCTCTGACGACATTCCTGCTTCACTTCTGCGTGCGTCCTCCAAGTATCTTGCTGCATCCTTGGCGGAAATCTATAACAACTCCCTTGCCACTGGCGTATTCCCCGAACAATACAAGCTTGCCCAAATCTGTCCAGTCTTCAAGAAAGGTGATAAAAACGCTCCCACAAACTATAGACCAATCTCCCTTCTTCCCATCGTTTCCAAAGTCCTAGAAAGAATCGTCTACGACCAGTTCCGGCAGTTCATGGTCTCTGCAGGTGATGTTATACCTGACGAACAGTTCGCCTATCGCTCCTGTCATTCATGTGGTGACGCACTGGCGCTATGCATTGACAGTTGGCAGCGGTCCCTGGACTCTGGCAACGTGGTTGCTGTAGCATTCCTCGACCTCAGCAAAGCCTTTGACTGTGTCCTGCATGGCGAGCTCCTTCTGGAGCTGCAGCGCTGTGGAGTAGGAGGCACTGTTCTGCAATGGTTCTCCAGCTATCTGTCCAGCCGACCACAGCAAGTGAAATGCCTCCGTCAACCACCTGGAACCCCGTACACGGCCAATCGCGGTGTCCCTCAGGGCTCTGTCCTGGGACCGGCACTGTTCACGGTGTACACCAGGCGCCTACCAGCCTGCCTACAGTCATCCCTCTGCCTCCTGTATGCAAATGACACCAACATCTACGCTGCCGACCCGTACCCTTCCACTGCCACACAGACCTTGGAACATGATCTGACCCGTGTGAGCAGCTTTCTGGAGGCCCATGGACTACAGCTGAACCCATCCAAGACGCAATTCCTGCTGCTACGGAAACCCAATGTACATGCAGACTGTGCCCTACAGTTTTGCAACAGCCGTATACAGCAATCGCAGCAAGCCAAGTACCTGGGCATCATCATAGATGAGCATCTGTCGTTTCAACAGCAAGTAAGTAACATTAGAAGTAAAGTTAATGCCAAGGTCAATGCATTTCGCCGTTGTCGCCACCTTCACAGTGCTAGAGCCAAGCGAACTTTCTATCTTGCATTTGTCCAATCTACCCTGGAGTACGCGAGCAATGCGTACGTGCACTGCCTGCGACAGACCACCTATAACGCTCTTATTAGCATCGCGAATCGGGCGATCCGCACTGTGTTTGGCTTCCCTCCCTCTGCCTCCATCCAACCCATCTTAGCTAGACAGCACCTAACACCGTTAAATATTCGCTATGCTGCCAACCTCTATGTGTTTCTACATAGATGCATAAATGCTCGTGCTAGTCCCCTACTTTGCCGACTTTTCACTCCTCGTGCTGTCTCATCATCCCGCACTGCTAGAATTACCCGTTCTCAGGAATTGCTTGGCCTGGTACTGCCCCATGCCAGATTGTATTTTGGCTATCACTCTGTATCTTATCTTGGAGCTGACCAATGGAACGCCCTCCCTGCCGCGATTCGCACCATATCCCTACCTGCTGCATTTCGCTCCGCTATCTTCACGTGGCTAGGGCACCCTGTAAGAAGACCATAGGTCTGTGGGGACTGCCCTAGTAAAATATGAATAAATAATAATAATAATCTTTTATTCAAATAACCGACGAGGAGACAACAGTCGTAAAATAGAAATGAAAAATATCAATTGTGCACTCATAACCATGTATAAACAATTAAAATGAAACAATTCCAGAACGTTTTCGTGTGACTGTCATCAGTGGAACATCGTCACAATGTGTCATAGTAACCAGAAAATGTTATAGCACTCACACTTTTTAAATAGTACGCACTCACCAGTTTTGTCCACACGCACTCACAGCTGCCACATTCATCTACTGCTACCATTCTCAGATACACTGCAAAGGTTCACACTACACGCGTTATGCATAACCGCTAGCTGTGCTGCATTCTCACGCTTCTTTTCATATTACTCTAGCTATAATACTGGTTGTTTTAGTGATTCTTACTATGTGACGATGTTCCACTGATGATAGTCACACGAAAACGTTCTGGAATTGTTTCATTTTAATTGTTTATACATGGTTATGAGTGCACAATTGATATTTTTCAGATCTTTTATTCGTTAATTTTGTGCAACAAAGAGCCTGTTTGTGAGACGGAGAATATAAGGGTTCCAAAATTTGTCAATTTCGGATGGAGAGCCATGGATTAAACTTAAAAGAAAGGAGCAAAATGAAGTAAATGTTATCTGTAGTTTGTGTCCAGCACTAACAGTTATAAGCAAGATGTTGTCAGTATTGTGCTAGCTGTTGCACTTTCTGACTACACAATATCTAGCTTATAACTGTCATTGTTGGACACAAACTACGGATAACATGCAACATTTTGCTCCTTTCTTCCATATTAATATTTTGTCAATTTCCTTGTCTTTAAAATAGTTGCGCATTATTCCCTTGCTTATTACTGTGTACTTACCTGGCTTCTGAGTTATGAGCCACCTCCTTGCTTTAACACCAAGACCCACTCCATTAATGGCTGCAGCAGTAATCTGATACTGTGTAAAATGTCGCAAGCCAGATAGTGAAATTGAGTTGCTGACCCAACCTTTAGTGGGAGAGATATGGGAAGAAAGACATGATTCAAATGAAGATAGATAAGAAGCAGGAACGAAAGCAAAAAAGAGAATGATCGCAAGAGAAGAAGCCAGATAATAGAATGAACAAAACGAAGAGCTTCAAGAAAGTAAGTGTGTGCTGCTCCCTAAGACGGAGCTGCCGCCTTTCCCGCTCACTTGACCAGACAGTGCGAATCAGTTTCATGCATGGAGATGCCAAACAAGCGCTGAACAGAACATGGAATATGACTTGCATTTAAGCTGGGTCCAGTCATGTATGCACCATGTACTCACTTTCATGAACTCGAATAGATCCGTGCAGAGAACAGTTGTAGAGTTGACATTGACAATCTTCTACTTTGTTACACCCAACTGCATCGTAACTAATCTCATAGCCAATGAGAGTACCATGGGAAAGAGCAGGTGGCATTGGCTGCAGGTTTTCAGGATACGAGTCACACACAGACAAAACTGGCAGTATTATCAACAACTTGAAGCAGTGATAGAGGATTAGCTTTGCTTTATTCATACAGCAAAGAACGAAACCATTTCCTAAAGATATCCACTCTATGCCAATCATACGCTCTTCAAGATAGATATGTTGTGCATCGATTTTCCACTCTCACAAGAGTTATTCAGTCTTCACCGAATGCCTCAGTGCACCATGAACTGCCTAGATCTTGGTTTCAATCTGTTTATTTTAGTAGGGACTTCAGGGATCTAGCCAGGTCTAAATAGTACGGGGGAGGGGGGGGGGGGGGGCAGGGAAAACAGTTACCCCGTTAGTTATTTTTCCATTTTCAAAATAACTGTCTTGCAATGCGAAATAACAAGTACGGGGCGAACACCTGACTTCACCCCGGACAGATGTAAGAATTAAAGAACCCTATAGTAGTGACTATCGGCTGCATTTTCGCTGAATGGCATGAAAAAAGGAAACATTGGAAAATGGGTAGGGGGCGACACCTTTCACAGGGGGGGTGGGAGGGGGCAAAGAGAGTAGGGGTGCTGTGTCCCCTACCCTTTTGGCTAGAACCCTGCGCTTGGACATGAACAATATTAACACAATGTAAGCATACACCATCCTGAGTGATGCACTAGCTGTGGATGAGGTGGGAGTGCAAGGGGATTTCCTAACCTTAAACCCTATCGTCGCATGACCCGGGGATGTTGAGACAGCAGTCAGGCCTTGGGGTGCCGCAGCCGCTGCAAGTTAGGGATACAAATTCAGGAAACACTGAAACAAAGCAGGTCTCTCTCTCTGACACTGTCTGCTTTTTCCAGTGCATAGTTCTGGCAACAAAGCCAAGACAGTGTGTCAGGTGTGGTGGGTAAGCAGGCATTGGGATGACCACCTTGTGTGGCCAGCATCATTAGCAGCTGTCTCTGCACTCTCCTGCTCCTTTCCCATTCTAATTTATAATGTGGGAACTACAGAGGCAGTGCGCCTTAACCTGAAATAGTGCTCAAATGCCCGGAATGGGCAGAGCGTAGTACGCAAAAGGTAAAAACAGGAAGCGAAATAGGGCCGTTTCGTTGTTACTCATGTTGTCTGATGATTATTTTTGCCATGAAACTGTGAGTAACAACGAAACAGCCCTATTTTACTTCCTTTTGCGTAATAAGGGAACTATTGTGTTGAAGGTGGCAGCCCGGTCGTAAAATCCCTGAAAAATCAAATAATTATGTAAATTCATATCGAGTGCTACATCAGTTGAAAGAGCATGAACAGCTGCAAAATCTCTGAAAATTTTGTTTCGATCTGAACAGCCGTTCAAGAGTTATGGCCGAAAATGTGCCCTTGCAAGGAAAGATTTTTTTGTTGCACGCTGTCATTTGTTGGCAGCACTGTATTTGAATGTGAGCAGACCGTGCGCAACTTGTCGTATCATGGAAACACGCGAAAGTGTGCAGAATGTTGCTCCAAGTCCAAAAAATCACGTTAAAACCACGTATTGGGCTGCACGGCGGCAGGCAAAGCCCACCGCCGCGCAGCAGGACTTTTGCCAGCACCCTCGTGACGTTGCAGATAAGTGGCTTAATTTTTGTAGTTGACGTTGATTGAGTGACTTTGGCAAGTTTGAGTCGTGTCAAGAAGTCAGGTAGGATTCAGTCCTAGGCAGTAGTGGAACGTGAGTGGTAGTCTTTGCCGATGTTGGGGGGTATCCTGGATTCGGTTTGAAGCGCTGTGGAAATGGCTTGCTGTGGAGGTCCCAGCACTGGATGTTGTATCAAAGGTACGACCTCGTAGCACGCCCTGAACCTAAAAATATTCAAAAATTGACTTGGGTCTGTAGGAGTGTGTGAGAGAACGCACACTCCTGCCGTTGTGACAGATTCCAGGGCCACGTTGAAGGGCCCTATCCTACCACCCATGGCTGCTTCTGGACTTTGTTTAGGTTTGGATCTCGCGCACGGATAGAATGGGCAAGAAAATGTGAAAAAATTGTAAATGCATTTTTTTGGCTCCTGGGTGGCTCGCCAACCGTGGCACTATGCCGGAATTTGAGTTTTTCCGGCGTGGGAAGCCTGTCAGTGAGGCGCAAGAACTTTTAAATCATGTCCAAAGGGCCAGCATAGTGGCACGAGTGTGTGGTGAACATTTCACTCAAATCCATTGAGAGATACCAAAGTTACGGTCAATTGAATGCCATATGAAATTTACGACCAGGCTGCTACCTTAACCGGCCTGAAAATTCATTACGAAATAGAGGTTGCGACTTCGGCGATGATTTGTTTCGGAATGCGTTTGCTCCCACACTGGAGCTAGCGCTATTCTGCCGAATAGCGTGAGCTCCAGTGTGGGGGCAAACACATTCCTGAACATTCATTAACCCGACTGCTGCATGGACGATAAGTGCTGCGAATAGTGATCATGCGCCCTGGCCTGAGTAGCTCGCTTGGCTAATTGAAAGTCTGCCGACCTGGGCCACATTATGTTGCTAAGGCATGCACAACCCCAGTCACAGCGCGCAAGTTGGTTGAGTTTGGCCGTCAGGAGGCCAGCGCAAGGTATCCGGGGCGCGGGTCTGATTCCAGCGAGGGGCAATGTGGTACCCCGCAGCGCAAGGGTAGCGTGATACCCTAAGCCAGCGTGCGTGCTGCATGAGTAGCGTGATACTCGCTGAGCGCTTTTGCTGTTGCCTAGCAACGCGTTTCTGTCTTTCCTGGGCCCCCAACGCATGTTGGGTGGCCCTGCGCATGACTGCACGTTGTCATAGCAACCTTGGAAACCTCAAGCCGGTTACCAACAAGCTAGGAATCAGACCAAGCCGCCGAATGCCCCCGCCGGCCCCCGGCGCTTCATTGCAATTGAATTAATATTTGTCCAGAATAGTGAGCTAGGACAGATCAAGAGGCGTGGGTGGGAGGGAGAAATTGCAAAACAGTTGGATGCACGCAGCAGCACAGCTAGCAAGAGAAAGAGCCGTGGATGGGTTTGTTCCTGTTTTTGATGGCTGTGGCCATCAGTTGGCCCAGCGGTCTCGTGTGAGTACGGTGTTTGTTCGTGCTGCCAGCTCGCGCCCGGCATTTGTTTGCGCTGGCAGCTCGGGCCCGGTGCGCGAGTGAAACCGAACCGTGACAAAGGCTTTCGCTCTTTAGTGCTATTGACTGGCTTTTCATACGATGCCTATTGATGTCTAGAGACATGCTGTCTAGCCTTCCCCTAGTACGCATTCACGGGGCTTTGTTGAAGTTCGTGCCGTGAACTGCCAAAGGGAACTGTTTGAATGGTGCTGGGGCGAGTGCGACATTACGGCGTCCCTGCAGCCGGCCTAATCGCGTTTGTCGCCACAACCGATTTTAACCCGACTGCTGCATGGACGATAAGTGCTGCGAATAGTGATCATGCGCCCTGGCCTGAGTAGCTCGCTTGGCTAATTGAAAGTCTGCCGACCTGGGCCACATTATGTTGCTAAGGCATGCACAACCCCAGTCACAGCGCGCAAGTTGGTTGAGTTTGGCCGTCAGGAGGCCAGCGCAAGGTATCCGGGGCGCGGGTCTGATTCCAGCGAGGGGCAATGTGGTACCCCGCAGCGCAAGGGTAGCGTGATACCCTAAGCCAGCGTGCGTGCTGCATGAGTAGCGTGATACTCGCTGAGCGCTTTTGCTGTTGCCTAGCAACGCGTTTCTGTCTTTCCTGGGCCCCCAACGCATGTTGGGTGGCCCTGCGCATGACTGCACGTTGTCATAGCAACCTTGGAAACCTCAAGCCGGTTACCAACAAGCTAGGAATCAGACCAAGCCGCCGAATGCCCCCAAATTCCGCGTTGGTCAGCCGAATGACCTTAGTGTGGTATTCAAGCGCTTCAGCTACATGTACGTAGTTCAAATGCGTGCCCTTCGCATGTTTGTTTTCCCTTAGTGACACCGAGAAGGGTTTGAATCGCATGTAGTCGGAGCGTGCGTGCACACATGGGGTGTCCCACACCGCCATGGCATGGGGTGTCCCACACCGCCATGGCATGGGGTGTCCCACACCGCCATGGCATGGGGTGTCCCACACCGCCATGGTCTGGGGTGTCCCACACCGCCATAGCATGGGGTGTCCCACACCGCTAGGTGGGAGCTATAGAACAGCAACAGAGTGGTGCAGATAACTTATCATAAGTATCAGAGGCGTGCGTGCACAGTCAGTGCTAGAACGTGAGTGCATACGTCCGCGAATGGGCGTACCAGCGTGTGCGCAGCGTGTGTACCTGCATGCATGCTTGTGCGGTGTCAGACTGTGGGTGCGTGTACGCGTGCATGCATGTGTGTGTGCATGCGTGGGTGTGTGTGCGTGCGTGTGTATGTGTCTGCGGGTGCGTGTATGTGGGTGTGGCTGTGCGCGCTTGCGCGCCTGCGGACGGCGAACAGTTACTTTCCACAGCGTACATAGTTCTTGTAGCAGGCACTTCGCCATCTGCCGAGTTTCATGATCTCGGATTCGGTGAAGCCGCTCATTGCTCCTGTGGTTGCGGCTCCGGCTCTGAGGCCGTGCAGTGAATACTGGATAGGTGGGTACCCTGCGCTGCTCAGTAGCTGACGGATTAGACGGGTGAGTCTTGGTGCAGTTAGGAACTTGCCACAGCTGTCAACGAACAGTGGTCTATTGGGCAGGTTGGGGCGTCTTGATAGATAGGTATGCATGGCTTTGACCGGGCAAACCGTTGAGTTGGTGGTTGTGAGCCGGACGGAGTGACCCTTGCCGAGTTGGTCGGTCTTGGACTTCTTGATTGTGACCTGTATTGCCTGCGGCGTGATGGAGAGGTCTTCTGTTCGGAGGCCACCGTCTGACATGGTCGTGGCGGTTGTGGAAGTGTACTCACTTGCCCGGAGACACGCAAAGAAGCCCAGGCAAATAGCTGCCCATACCATGGCTCGGTCGGTCGCGTTGAGGTTAGACCGTATCAGGGCCCTGCGCATAGCTGCCATGTGGGGCAGGAGGATTGGCTTACTGGCGTTTTTAGTTCGGTTGGCCTGTGCACGTGCCACTCCTTGAACTGCGAGGTCCACTCTTCGCGACGAGAGATCTTTGCCGTTTTCTTTGGCAATTGCCCGGATCGCCGACACATACAGGCGGACGGTTGACGCGGCATGTTGACGCGCCAGGTAGGCTACAAACGCCAGCATGATGGTGTCTGTAATCACCTTGGTGCCGACTAGTTGGCAGAATTGGTGCAGTCGTTTCCAGGCTGTCGCGTATGTGGCACGTGTGGACGCTGACAGGCCTAGCCACTGGTAGGCCTGACCATCCAACATCAGAGGGAGTAGGTGCTCTCGGGCACCGGAGATGGCGTGTCTTCTGCTGTGGGTGCCAGTCGGCGAAATCGGGCCATCTGAAACCGAGACAGAGAGTCAGCAATCGCATTGTCAGTGCCGGGGATGTGGGAGACTATGACGTGAAAGTTGTGTCGGGCAGCAATGGCAAACAAAGTGCGTACCAGCGCCATTAAGTCGGGGCACTTTGTGCGTGAGCGGAGCCAGATGTCGCATACGCTACGGTTGTCGCAGTGGAAGCGGATGCGCTTCAGATGCAGCTGCGGTGCCCATGTGGATGCTGCGGCCACGATGGCAAAGAGCTCCATCCATGCGATGGATCTCTGGGATTGGTGCCTCTGCCACCGGTGTTGGAGCCACCGGCCGGCGAAGAAAGCACCATAGCCGATGGCTCTAGATGCGTCCGTGTAGAGGTCCATATCGGCGGCGGCTGACCACGTGGG